AAGGTAAATGTTTTCTTTATTTACATTGTACTTGCATACCTGGAAAGTATACTATTTTTATCCTTCCCTGCTCTTTGCATCATAGCATTGGTGGTCTCCTGGACCCCACCCATTAAAATTCCAGTATCACTCCCATTTTGTTGTTACAGTTTTTCTTTTTTCTTTTAATTTTTAGGATTTTTTTAAAGATAAACTTTTCCTTGAAATGTAATGCACATAAAGAAAAGTACACAAATCCTACGTATACAGCTAGATGAACACATCAGTATAATCAGCACCCAGGCCAAAATACATTATGTTACCAGAACCGTGAAGCTCCCCTTGCATCCCATCCTAGTCATCAAGCCCCCACAAAAGTAAGCTCCTTTCTGATATCCGGCATCATAGATTGATTTGGCTGATTTTGAACCTTTTATAAATCGACTCATACAATATGTATTCTCCTGTGTCTAGCTTTTTTTCCCCCAACATTATATTTATGAAATCCATTCCTATTTTTGGATGTAGCAATAGTCTGTTTATTGTCATTGCTATAAGTATTCTCTTGCATGAATACATTACAATTTATGTATCCACTCTACTTTTGATGGAAATTTGGATAATTTCCAGTTTGGGCTACTAGAAGATAGTGTTGCTACAAACAGCACTACCCAGAGTGGTTGTACCAATTTATTCTACATCCAGCAATGTTAGAGAGTTCTTGTTCAAAATTGTCATCTAGGTTTTATGTGTCTCTTTTTAACTCTTTCTTTCTTTTCTCTTTCTTTCTATCTCTCTTTCTCTCTTTCTTTCTTTCACTCTGTTGCCCTAAGTAGAGTGCAGTGGAGTCATCATAGCTCACTGCAACCTCAAACTCTTGGACTCAAGTGATCCTCCTGCCTCGGCCCCTTAGGGTACCTGGAACTACAGGCACATGCCACAATGCCTGGCTAAGTTTTCTATTTTTAGTAGAGACACGGTCTCACTCTTGCTCAGGCTGGTCTTGAACTCCTGAGCTCAAGCAATCCTCCTGCCTCAGCTTCCCAGAGTGCTAGGATTACAGGCGTGAGCCACCACACCCGGCCCGTATTATCTTTTATACCCCAATTATTCTAGCAACCAAAAAAGCCCCAACTTATTTTCAAAACAATTTCTGGCATATATTATAGATTACCTTTGAATTCCCTTCCAACTTAAGATAAAAATGTTCCTATGATTATACAGAAAAAATAAAAATTTTCATATCTGGCACAGTATAAGAAATTCTAACTGACTTTGAAGCTGAAGTGGGAAAAACAGAATATCTATGGCTAAAAATAACATTGATAAGCAAGTGACTCACAAATTTATAGCCTATCATGTTGAAGACTGTAGGCTGTGGATCCATCCTACCGGGGTTCTAATCTCAGCTTTGTTATTTTACCAGTTGTACAGTCTTGAAAAATTACTTAGTCTTTCTGAGTCCTACCTTTCTTATCTGTGAAATAGGGATAAAAATATTTTCTACTTTAAAAAAATATTTATTGCTAGTTAAATATATTATTTAGGGGTATAGGGGTATAGGCCTTTAAACCTTTAAAAATCCAGGTTGTAATATCAGACATCAAGTTCAATCTCATTTCAACCACCTTCCTAAACTTAGAATAAGTTATTTAATTTCTATGTACTGCTTTTCTGTCTTGAAAATGGCATATTAATAGTATTTACCTTATATACCTGTTAGAAGAATAAAAATAAGTCTATATATGGAAGAAACCAAATACTTGTGTTTGAAAAACATCTGTCAGAGTCTAATTTCTCTAACAAGTAATGTTCCCATTAAACAAAGAATTCACACAATATGTAGAAAGAAAATGTAATTATACAAGACTGTTAAATTTTGCTGTTTACAATTTAAAATGCCTTTTTGGAATTAAAGGCATTTTACAAATTCTGTGATTAAAATATTTCAAGTTTTGTGATTAAGCTTCACTTTACAAGAGTTATAGTCACACAATGATCTTCCTTTAAAAAGTCACTTTTTTCCTCATTAAATTTTAGAAAATATTTGGGAAGGGTATGTAGCTGTAATAATCTAATGCAGCACATTTACAGTTGTAATTCTCTGTAAGGGCATTGCCTGACCTAGCTATGCTCCAATCCCACTTGTATTTCATTGTTCTTCTTTGCTCATAACAATGTAAACATTCCGTTGTAAGCCTTATCTTGAAAACCAACAAGCATTTACATATTCCCAAGTATGTCTGTCTACCAGATCAACTCTCCTCTTTGCACAAGGCTTCTTGTCACTGAACTGTAACTTAAAGTCAACTGAAGTTTAAAGTTCATATTTTGTGATTTTAATTTAATAAAGTGCTTAATATAATACCTAGCACAAAATAAATCTTGATGAATTTTGAGCCATTATTATCATCATTGCCCCAATTATATCAATGCCGTTTAGTGGACTGTGAGAGGAGAAAAGATAATAGAAAACAAAAAGACCAAATTAACCTACTATAAAAATATCCATTTATTCTTAATTGATCAGGCTACAATTTTTTTCCCTGTAATGTTAAATATCTGGACTAGAAGATCATAAGATTTATTCCACTGCAAACCTTTCAAGATTACATAATTTCATTATCAGGTAGTTTTAGTCATATCCATAAACACAGTTAAAGTAGGGTGAAAAATTCAGAAAGACAAAATTTTTTTGGCATGCAAAATCAACATGTTTTCTATTTTATTTAAAGTTGGCTACAGAAATAACTGGTAAGAAGAACTTTTATGACTATGTAAACAAATCTTTTTGGTCCTTATGTAAATTTAATTTACTTCTGATTTCTTTATAATAATAGGAAATTTGTATGTATTTGCAAATAAAATATTGGTATGTTTCACTGACATTTAATGAGTTCTAATATGGTCACACTGTGCACTTCTATAATCATTTCTGCCTCTACGTGATACTAATTGGATCTCTTCCAAAACACATCAAGCCATTTATGCTGTTTGTTGTCTTAAAATGTTACATTTGCCAAATATCTCCTAAAATTTGCTCCAGAGTTTGCTCCTCATTATAGTCATTACATGTACTTCAACATTTTAACTCGTCAGTAAATGAGAAGGTCCTTCTTTTGCCATAAAGTTTTTCAATTGCAAATGCCTTAGCAAAGTTAAAAATAATCAAAATACTGAGTGTGAATGAATCCATTTATAATTTATTTTCTTGTTCCAGGAAAAATAAAAGTCAGGAAACAAACACATAGGGAGCAGAACTGGGGGACTGAGGAGGGAAAGAATTCTAAATATTTAGGAATTAGGTACTCTTCAATATCTTTTGAAAATACAATATTTTCCTTATTATTTTGATATAATGTATTATACAAATACATTTTTGAAGTCACACTGCCTAGGATTGAATCCTCTCTTCACTACTTTTAATACATACAGTAAAAACTCTCTGATCAAAATATGTCTTTATCTTTAGGATTTTGTCACGTTTTTATACATGAGCATAAATAGCAAGTTGCAAAATTTTTAAAAAATATATTAATATAACGTGTATTCTTAGAAACAGAGACTGTAAATATGTACACTAATCTCTTTCAATATTATTTGGCTAGCTGACACCAGGTAGACACAATCAGTAGTTTTATCCTTATTGCTATTCTTAAAAATCTTAGTCACCCCCACTAATTCTATACTTTAAGCTATTAACTGTTGATGCCCAAATCTATCAATCAATATTTGCCTTCACCTCTGTATATGGAAAGACCTACAGTTTTTTACAGTGAAGACAACTGTCATGAGAACACTGAATTCTTACTCTCCTACAGCCACAATCAGAACTCTCTCCAGTGGAAGATCAGTCTAGAATAAAATTATGGCAAAGATGAAATTTGTCTTCATTATCTGCAGTACGGCTCCTTCCCTATTCCTCTCTTAGATATCTCGCCTTAAAAATCTAACATAGTCTGAAAATTAACTAGATTTCCTCATTATTTCAGTGCCTATCTGATTCCTGTTTTGCCTATTCATTGCAATATTTCTTTTAAAAGGCATTGCAGTCATTGAGAGAGGGAAGTTTACTTTTCAAACACAGATGTTTAGATTTGTAATAAATCTTAGAGGACAGTTTTCTTCCCTCACTATACAAGAACTTCTGACTGTTAGTTCCTAAAGGGTTGGCACCTACCTGTCTTACTCATCTTGGGTCCCCAGCATTTCACTTAGTGCCTGGCACACAGAAAGCACTCAAAGTTTGTTAAACTGAACAAATGTGGCTGATGATTGGCAACCTAGCGCACTGGTTTAATCCTATTGGACCACATAACAAACTATTGAAATCTCTTGTTCATGCATCGGTCTTCCCAACTATTCGCCAAGTTCCTTAAGTGCAGGAATCTTGTTTTTTCTTAACAACCCTAGCAGGAGTCTTGGCATACAGAATTCGCTCTTGATAGCTCTCTTATCTGTTGAAATTAAATAGCTGGAAATCAGTATTGGAAAGTAAAGTGTGAAGGCAAAAATATGAGCAATGTAAAAGATATAACAGGATTGGGCGGCTGGAAAGGCAGAAGAAAACTAATGATAAAGCAGGTTAACATTCCAGCTTCTTGAGCATCAATCAAGGTTTCCGGCGCACAGGTTGCCTTAGCAACTGCGGAGAGCGTCCGCCCTACTCCCGTCCCCAGTCCCGCCCCCAGTCCATCTGGCTCTTCAACCGCCTACCCCTCAAGCTTACTTCCGCCCCAACCTGCCAGCTGGGACCGAGAGACCTACTTCCTATGCCTACGCTTGTGCTGCCTGACTAAAAATATAGAAGCAAATGATAAAGTTAGAAATATATTCTCTACATATGACCACACTTTTGCCTCAGATAGATATGTGCAAAATTAATAGCTACTTGTAACTTGGAGGCTCCCTGTAGCATGAACATTTGTGGCCGATTTTTCAGGCAGTACCTTGGACAACAGCAACTGCGAAGGCCCCCAGTTTGCGGAAGGAAACGTGGACCTGAGTGGGGTGGGGCGCTCTCCGGCGCTGAGCAGGAAGTGGGGCCTCACGGAGGAGTTGGCGTGGTTACTCTGTTCACGCCGGCTTCACCATGTAAGTGTTTACTTACCAACCACCCTAATCCCAGGTCCCGCTGCCCCACCCTAACTCTCTCCTACTGTCTTCCTCAGGTCGAAAGTTTCCTTTAAGATCACGCTGACGTCGGACCCGCGGCTGCCCTACAAAGTGTGAGTAGTTCGGCAGAGACGGGCCTGGGCTGGGGGACATCCAGGCCTTTCGAACAACTCCCACCCCATGCAGTCTTCATCCCTTGTCTCCCTCAGACCCTGGCTGCGCCCTTCTAGAAGCCTCTCCCACCCGAGCCTGAGAGGAGAGGTCCCGTACTTGCTCCCTAAGTGTCAGCTTGGCCCGGGCACTAGGGTGTGGGTGTGTTTCTTCTGGTTAGTGGCCTCTCCTTCGTAATTCATTTGGTGAGCGGGTGGAGAGGGAGGATAGGTGGACAGCACTTTGATAATTTGCTGGGATTCTTAAACAATCCTTGTCTGCTGGGGATTAGAACAGCCTCTCACTGCTCTGACCAGATGTTAGAAGTTAGGGAAAACATCCCGACAAAGACTCTAAAATTACTTGAACGCTCGTTATTGTCAGGCTTCTGGTTTTGTTGTGTGTGAGTGACTCAACAGTAGGCCATCGCAAAGTAGTGATCCTCAAATCATAACACTTTCTATGTTGGGATTTAATTAAGAGCGTGTAGTAGGAGCAGGAATGTGGAAATAGGGCAGTTTATCCATATAGGGCCTTTCCTTATGGATTAAAACAGAGCTAACCACTTACTTAATACTTAATTTGGACCTTCCTGTGGTTTTAAGTAAACACTCTTGAGGTTATTGCAGCTGGAAGTCATATAAAATGTAGCAAAGAACAAGACTTCAATAGGTTTTTATGCATAATTAATACACTTAATGCCCCTAAATCAACTAATAACAGCTGTCATCAATTTCAGTGACTTACTGCATCCATGACCCATGCGACCTCCCAACCTTTTATTCTCTTGATTTTTTTCCTCCAAAATGTCATTTGTTACATTTTATCTGAGGTGTTCATGGTCACAGCCTAGAACCTTAAGATCTCCAATAATTGTTCTATCTCCAAAATGTCATTTTCAAGCACTCTTTTATGGATAACTATATTCTCTTCTACCGATTTGCTGTAATATTTCTTGTAGAATGTTTCTTTTAATCCATTGACCACACTGCTTTTTAATCTATAACTATACTCTTCTCTATGCCTTATCCCACTCCTTATAGGGCTTAGAGTCCATGGTCCATCTTTAAATCATTTTCCTGCAAACACCCTCAACTCTGGTCCCCCCCATCTCTCCACAGCATGTTTTGGTTGGTGAAATACCAATGCTGAACCCAACCATTTGTATTTTCTGCACAGAGCTGAGTATATCTGGAGAAAATAGCACAATTAGTTGATGGATTTTACATAAAATTCATGACTGCACTCAGTAGTACATAGCTCTCTACTACATTCTTCAAGTTTGCTCATTTTCCTCCTTATTCTCAGAAAGGATTTAAAAATTTTTTTTTCTTCAAACTTTCCACAATTTCTTTTCTTTTTACTCTCAAGCTCTTAGAGGGAGCTTCTGTCATCTTTCCATCTCCATATCTGTAAACCTACCACTACAATTATAAACCCTTAATTTCAGTGTCCCATCCTTTACAGTGGAAAACATGACTTTACTCCCATGAAAAGCCAGTTGTTCCACTTGGGCTCTAAATCCCGTGTATTTTAGTTTTTCAAGATTAAAGTGGATAGAGTCCAGCTACTCCTGTCTCCTCATTATTGTTTCTCTGTACTGGATTATTCTTATCAGTGTGCAAATGTACTATAGAAAGAGAGGGTGAGGAGGAGGGAGGAAGAGGATAGAGTATCAATGTAGCAAAAAGGACTTTATTATAACTAGCATAAGTATATATCAATATCTATAAGTACCTGGAACATTGTACCAGTTGAGTTAATATGTGGTGACTAAATTAGTAAGTATAACTGTTGTTTAGTATGTGTACACATGTACAGGTGTGTGTATGTATAATATATATGGATATGTGTGTAAAATATGCATATGTATATATGTGTGAAAGAGTCCTTATGCTATATTTTCCCATTCAAGGGAAGTGGTAACTAGTACTTGGGTGGTAGTAAAAGCAACTCTAAGATTTGTGGAAAAACATAATTTTTTCATGTGACTTTTCACTTGTCGAACAGGAATATACATACTTTGATGGAGAAACTTCCTTTGAGTTAAGCATTACTAAGAGTTGCTTTCTAGAAGGGATATTTCAGTTAGTTCTAAATTTATTCTGGAGTTTTTATTTTTGGGATTTTTTTGTTTATTGATAGATTGACTATTGGTATTGACACTAGGTTACAGAAGTGTTGAAATTAAATTTTATTTTATACACAGGATGAAGAAAAAACCACCTTTGGCTCTTTCACTCTGTTTCAAACCTTTCCCATCTTATTTTCCACTTTTTCTTCTCCCTTCCTTACTACCACCATCATTAGTCAAAGCTTCAGCCTCCCCATTCTCAAATTGACAAGCTAACCCTTATAATCCTTCCTGCCTTTACACATGTTCTTGGAATCTAATCTCATGACCACTACTTCTTGACAAACAACATTTTTTAATAATCAAAATTTCACCTCTGTGAAGATTTCTGTAATCGTCCCTGGAATTATTTTTACTCTTTTTTAGTTTCCTATGGAATCTTTGTTCTTAGTCTTTATAATAACATTTTTCAAGTCATGTCATCAATTTGTTTATATGAGATATTGATCGAGACAGAGTCTTGCTCTGGTGCCCAGGCTAGAATGCCAGGGCGTCAGCCTAGCTCACAGCAACCTTCAAAGTCCTGGGCTCAAGCGACCCTGCTGCCTCAGCCTCCCAAGTAGCTGGGACTACAGGCCTGCCTGCCACCACACGCAGCTAATTTTTTCTCTTTTTAGTAGAAACATGGTTTTGCTGTTATTCAGGCTGGTCTCGAACTCCTGAGCTCACATGACCCTCGCACCTCTGCCTTCCAGAGTGGTAGGATTACAGACAGGCATGAGCCACCATACCCGGCCTATATGAGATATTTATTAGAAGAACAAATGATGCCAGTAATTCACTTTAAAAATTTGCTTTAATAAAAAGAATAGTTCCCATTTTTTCAAAACACTAGTATAATTTAAGTGCCAATTTTATGAAATGATGTTGACTGGCAAGTACAGTGGCTTCACATCTAGATAAGGTCTATAGAGTCACCATGACTCTCATTTCCTCTGTAATTTTCTGCTGATGAGAACATGTATTAAAAGATGTTTCCATTTTATGTTTTATTGGCTTGTTTATGGATAGTCTCACTTTACATACAGGTAGAAACTTATTTTAATAAACATCAATATGACATCTGGTTATGTTGAAAACACATTTCCCAGTCTCCAATTCAAAAGTGAATTGAACCTCAAGGTTTTTGAAGTTTTCCTATTGAGGTAGAGTTTAAGGGAAATGAATCTCAGGTTCTGAACTATAGATGTGCTGCAGAAATACTTGCAAAATATTGTTGCCTATTTGTAAACTATCACATTGCCCACTTACTGGATACTTTTTAAACAAATGGCTATCCTTCAGAATTTTATTTTTATTCTCTGCATGCCCTAAAAAAATTAGGAAAGAAAGGGGAAAAATGATACTCATTTTCATTCTTTAACAGTATTTTGGAGGAGTGGAATGGGGACAGCCAAGAAATCTATTCATACGTCTCTTACAAAAAGTCAATATAATATGCCGTGGCTGATACAATGATTCTTACATTCAGAGATCTGTAGACCAAGGAACCTTGGCATTTACATGAGAATGTTTCGTAATGGTAGTTGGTATTAAGACATTAATACAATAATATGGTGATGACAAATAGAGAAATTTCGAAGAGAAATGTTAGTTTGCTGGTCTGTCTTCCCTGCTTTGAAAGATTATCATTTTTCTGATTTAATCATTGTGATTTTTTTACCATAGGAATCTTATTTCTTTATTTTACTTATTTTTAAACCTCTTACTCTGTCTTTATTTTCTTAGAGTATAATGTAAATTTCTTTTTTAGTTTTTAAGTTGGAAAATTGAAACGGATTGACCCTGGGGCCCTCATTAAAAAAAATCTTTTATTGGTGATCTTTAATATGCTTGCCATTATACAAGTCAATTACCAAAATTACACTTCCCTCTTTAAATTATTACTTTAGATTATGCTAAATCCTTTTTCAAATGATGGCGTAGAAGGTAGAAATGTCACTTTATTATCAGCATTTTGCCATAATAAACATTTATTTTCATCAATTTGGTCTACTATTAATATTTTAGACATTATTATTGTTAATAGTACATAGGAGGGTTCATCAAAGCTTTATGACCCAATGATGCTTCCCAGGCAGCTCCTACTTAAAACAAAAATGGTAACATTAGTACACTGGGTGAAAAGGTGTTTTGAAGGGAGGTGGTAAAGTGGAGCGAGGACTAAGGAGAGATTCAACTTTTTAAAATCCGTCTCTAGAAAACAAACAGCAGCCCATATGCCAGACTTAATTATTTCAAGGTGTTAGAAATATATATACCTACACCTTGTAGAGGTTATTAATTTTCAAGTGGAACTCTGAGCACCATCTTAGCTCTAAGGCTATTTGCCTTTTTTTTTTTTTTTTAAGAGTTAATGAATATAGTATGCAGTCAAAATAGCCAGCTTTGAAACTCTAAAGACAGCTTTGTCCTGGTCAGCTACAGTAGGAACAAAGGGGCTTTTTTAAAAAACATCAACTTTGTTTTAAAATTCTTCTTGCAGACTTAGTGTTCCTGAAAATACACCTTTCACAGCAGTCTTAAAGTTTGCAGCAGAAGAAGTAAGTATGGAAATTGTAATGATCTTTGTGGAATGCAGTTTGGCAGTATGTTTTAAAAATCTTTAAAATTTGCATGCGCTTTGACCCACCATTTCTACGTGGGCTCTTTACTAGGTTTATGCTATGGCAAAGTTGTATTGGTCTTCTAATAAAAGTAGAAGAAAATCCTAACAGACATGCAGTAGAAAATAAGCTAACAAATTCCATACATCCACATATATTGATCAAGGTTTTAATATAGATTATAATTATTATGAATCACATGGGTGTTTCACATTTAGGAAGGATATGACTTTCAGGCAGTGACGAGAGGGGCTTTTAGAAGATGGCACTGTGGAATCTTTCAGTGAGAACCAACATTAACTTGAGAAACAAGAGTCTGGATTTAAATCCCTGGTAAAACTCTCTTAATAAGCAATAGTAGAATTTCCCAGCACTTGACTAGGACTTCAGTTAACTAAGTAATGAGTTGTCAAAACCTGAGAAGACCCAAATAACACCCTAAGTTACAAGAATTATGAGATCTGAACAAGAAAATAAATGAAAACTTAGGAACATAAAATAAATTTTGCATCCAGGAGAAAACTTGTCAGTAGTATAGGACAAAAAGAGTAGTTACTGTATTTTACATAAGTAGTCTTGCCTCCCCAAATTTCAGCTCACCCATTGCTTTCACATTCTACCCATGGGAAAATGTATTAACAGTTGCTTTTGTTTTTTTTAAAGTTCATAAAATATGTTGCCACTATGTGGATGTAACTAAGAAAATGTATAGCGTATCTTAAAATGGGCATGATCTAAGAAGAATACTCACTCAGTAGGGTAACTGAAAACTGTAGGATTTTAGTTTTGAAAATCTGAGAGTTCTATAATTAATTTGAGTATTTGAGCAGAGTTTTATTGAAGGCCAAGCACAATGACTCACACCTATAATCCAACACCTTGGGAGGCCAAGAGGGGAGGACCACTTGAGGTCAGGAGTTCAAAACCAGCCCTGGTCAACATAGTGAGACCCCAACCCTGTGTCTACAAAAATAGAAAAATTAGCTGGGTGTGGTGGCATGCATTTGTAGTCCTAGCTACTCAGGAGGTGGAGGAGGGAGGATTGCTTGAGCCTAGAAGTTCAAGGCTACTGTGAGCTATGATTGCACCACTGCATTCCAGTCTAGATAACAGGAAGACCCTGTCTCTTTGGGGAAAAAAAAAAAAAATGTTTTATAGAAATTATAGCTTCTGTAAAGTATTTTCTAGGTATTTTAAAATTTATTAAAGTACATTTTAAAGTTCTTTAAAAATCTTAAAATCTTTAAAAGGACATTTACAGTTAATAATGTACCACATTGAGAGTAAAATTGTTTGTTAGGTACGTAATACTGTAGCAAGTGGTTATTCTTTTGCATGGTTCTTATTTTAAAACTTGATTCTTCAATTTATAATTTAAAATAAGCTTTTAGTTGTTTTTCTCAGCTATGTATATGTGACCATTATAAATGCCTAGAGCAGTGCTTCCCAGACAACTAAAACTACACATACAAAAAAACTAGTACCACAAAAAAAAAAAAACCCACGAAAAACGGGTTAGTAGCCAAAAAGTATGGTATACACTTCATTCACTATTTTTTTCTTGGAGTTAAACTATGTTAGCTGTATATTAAAGGCTTTGAGAATACCACTAGTTTAATGTGTTTTCTAAACTTAGTTGATCATAAAACTCAACTATAGTATCTATAAAAATTAGTCCATAGCACAGACATGCTTAATAAAAATTTGTTGGATAGATTAATAAACTATGGAGACTTAAACACACCTTGGCAACTGCTGGTCTCTAGAGCATTAAGAGCTAGAATCTTCCTTTTAGCTACCATTAAGTTTCGTGCTACATTGCTATTCCTGTTGGCCATATGAAAGTCACTTAATTGTCTAGGTAACATTGTGTGTGCCTAACTGAACTTAGCTGTTACTTCCTGCTGACATAATTGGACTATTGCAGTCCCTTGAGATTTATGTCAACAAATCATTTAAGGAGAATTTAAATAATACAAGCCTTGGTTGTTACCTGAAAATCTTCTGTAGGCACCTCCCTTTAAACACAAGGAAGCATCTGTTTTGGGCTTGCCATTTTTATGAAGAACTTTTGGGAATAATCTCATCAATTTATTTTGCTTATATTTTTTGCTTATGCAAGAGAATTATATATGATAAGAGTGCCATAGCTAAGTCTGAATGAGTGAACATTGATTGGGTCATAGATTGACAGTGTTTTTCCTTTTTTTGTAACACATAAAATAAGCTACATTTTGTAATCAGTGGGGTCTTAAATTCAGTCAAATGCGTTATTTAGAATATGAGTTGTTTTTCAAAGATAAAGCAAATTATAGTATAGTTGACCCTTGAATAACACAGGGGTTAGGGACACCAACCCCTGTGCAGTCTAAAATCTGCGTATACCTTGACTCCGCAGAAACTTTACTAATAGCCTACTGTTGACAGAAACCATGCCAACAATATAAACAATCAATTAACAACACTTTATATGTTATATGTATTATATGCTGTATTCGTACAAAAAAGTAAGCTAGAGAAAAGGAAATGTTACTAAGAAAACCATAAGGAAAAGAGATTTACTCTTCATTAAGTGGAAGTGGATCATCATAAAGGTCTTCATCGTTATCGTCTTCACGTTGAGTAGGCTGAGGAGGAGAAAGAGGAGGGGTTGTTTTTTTCTCGGGTGGCAGAGGTGGAAGAAAATCTATGTATAAGTGGACCCCTAGTCCTGCGTTGTTCAAGAGTCAACCGTACTTTATTTTATGGTGCCACTTATTCTAAAAGATAAATCACATTTTAGAATTATAGAATTGATTATGTGTACCCTAGCCTTCCTGATCATCTTTTATAACTACGTATGTTTTCTTCTTTTTAGTTTAAAGTTCCTGCTGCAACAAGTGCAATTATTACCAATGGTAAGAATTCATTTTAAAATTATTTATTGGTTCAGATATATGGAAATTGTTTAAAAGGAACCAAATTAAAATTGACTTACATACAAAAAGCTTGAAATATATGTCTTAATGGCATACTTAGTGATACACTTAATGGTAAATACTAAGTCAGGGTTATTGTCCATCATTAGCTCTTTTCAGTTTTTTTGTTCTTTTGATGTGGTGTGGCAGTTTATGATATCTTGCGTCCTTATGACTTCATGCTAGATTTTTACTGAAGATGACTTCTTTATTTGGAAAAGTTTTTTGTTTTTTTTTTTAAATAAGTAAAGTTATATTAGTAAATGCTGTAGAATATGGAAAGTTAAGCAAAATGTACGTTTGCTATACCTTGCAATCCCTTTCCTGACAGAAAACTGTTTCTTAGAGGTTTGCAATAGTGGAGATTTTATTCAGTCAGGTATATAATTAAAAATCTGAATATCTTAGAATACTGATAGTGAAGTATAATGGAACTAGTCCTGTGAAAAAATAGTGAAATAATAAGATGAAGAGTGAAGATTGCAGGGAGGGCTTTACTATCTGTCACGTATACAAAGTGATACTGATGGGTGCTGGAGAGTGGTCTGTGTGCAGTTAGGAGAAAGAGGAGACGGGCTTAATGCGCATGATGTGGCTTAGATAAGACAGAATTTCTTACTCTAAAATATTTTCCATGCCTTCACGTGTTTTATGTGACAGCATGCAGAAATACTGAGTGTTTCTCTGTTTAGAGGAATGCTGGCCTACTTTCTGGAAAGTTTTAGGTTTGCACTGAATAACTCTTAGGAATGTGCTTTGAAACTTTCAAGTGTTGGCGAAACTTGAGCTAGACGACTTTGTGGGCTCTCCCAGCCTTAAGATATGATGCCTCAGAGAAATATGAAGATGATTAATGGCCTACCTAAGTGCTTTTAGCTTTTTGGAAGAAATGACAAGCTTGTTTCACTCTATGTGGACAAAATAAAATTAAACACCTCTCTTCCATAGACCAAGATCATTCTGTTGAAAGATGTTCTTGTCTAATCCAGCGATGAGTATGAATGCATAATAATAGCAGATTTCAACAGATAGATAACTTACTGGAAAAATTGTCACCCATGTGACATGGGATTTAAATTGTTTGGCCTGTGCCTGTATACACAGCAGCACTATTTTGGCAAATCTCTTCTTGGTGCTACTAAACCATTTTAGCCTTTAGAAATAACTTACGTAATTTTACAACTGATTTTCTAGATGGAATAGGAATAAATCCTGCACAGACTGCTGGTGAGTATCTATTTGAAAACTCATGGAGGAGTGGGTGGGGCTATATATGTCACTTGATACTGAATATTTAAGTTATTCTAATTAGACTTGCTAGGATTTTAACAGGATGAGCTGTTTTTTAAGGATTCTGTAGCAGCCTTTACCTATGTATCTGAGTAATAATTTGTTTCATTATGTATATCAATTTGTTGTTTGGTCTATAATATCAGAAAACCTAACAGTGGCTTATGCATTGAAAGTATTTAATTAATTTAATATACATGATAAAAAGTCTGAAGGTAAGATTGTGCTCTCATGGGAATAATGACTTTGACCTACCTCTTAAGGTAGTTAGTTGTGAGGCAGTGCATGTAAAGTGCTTAAAAGCTTGCATTATTCATAGTAAGCCTTCAGTAAGTGCTATTCAAGGAGCTGAGTCCATACTCAGAGATTCAGACTTTAAACAGATATATTGATGTCCTAAGAAGCAGGTAGTGTAAAAGTAGTCGTATACTTTGTAGTCTAAAACTTTTTAAAAAATACTTTTATATTTTTTAAATGTACTCTCTTGAACTTTCTAATTATGTTTTGAAA